AGCGTGGTGCTGACAACACCGAGTCAAGGGTTAAGATCCCCTTACCAGTCATCTTTTTTTTAAAAAAAAAAAAAAACAAAGTCTTCATCTGTAAAAACGGGGGAATATCTCATAGAGCTATTAAGAAAACAAGATAAATAATATATGTAAAGTATGTGATGCCAAACCCACCACCACTCAGTAATTACTGGATATATTTTAGTGCTCTACTGACTTTCCCTAGGGCGCTTCCATTAAGACGAGCCTAGCTTCTGACATAGGATGGGTTTTCCTTGTAATTTATCAGGGCAACAAGGGGATAAAATAGCTTTTCTTACCTTAAAAGATTTTACTGCCAATATAATTAACATAGAATAGTTACAGAGACTCTAGGTATATACAAGGCCATTCCCTGGACAATGATATCTGATTCTTTCTCTTAGATGAGGAACATGAAAGCAAAAGGCTTCCTTAACTATCCCATGTGATGTGAGAACTGATCACTCTAGAGGGAAGCCCAGTTACTCAACAAACATATTCTCAGCATTCTTAAGGGCCAAACGCAGAAAATAATTGTGGCCATGCAGTCACATGAACCCTGTCCTTTGCAGCATAGGTAAACAAAGCATGAGCAACAGTCATGTGTAAATTAAGATGACAGCACGTCCCAAATAGGCAGCATATAAACCAAAGAACTACAAATTACCTCATGCAAGTTTTGACATTTGTTACCAGCACTCACATTGCTAAAATTAAATATATTGAAAGAAATGCCTGAGGATACACTAATTTTATAAGTTACAATTTTCCCATGTTAAAAATTGACAAAATGAAAGAGAACAAAACAAAACAAACTAACCTGATGAAACAAACTTATTCAGAGTCCAAAGACTAGCTATTTGTTTCTTCAACGGAAGTATGATTTATCTTATTTTTCTTTTGACCAACTTAAAAAACCAGAGAACTAGAACACATTATCTGTACTGTATGTTAAAATGAATATTTCAAACTAGTTTCTTCCATATCTTAAAAATTCACTGTGAAGAAATAAGCCTACAGGCCCTTACTGCAAACTTACCATAAAAGAATCAATACAAAGCAGAGCACGAAATACTGAAACAATTGACAGTTCAGGATATGGACCACATTGAAATGAAAATGATGAGTACATTAACATGGAAGCACTGCTAGAAAGAGGTCATGATATCAAAATAAGTTGTGACACAGAGTGTATTTGAATCACTCACCTAAGTAGTTACTTAATCTCTCTTGGTCTAGACCTATATAATCTGTAAAACGGGGAAGAGTTCTTACTAAATTCCAAGGATGATCTGAGGACACATGATTATAAATCTATGTACTATAGAATTTGGACTACACTATGATGTCATTAGAAAAAGCTTGTAGGGCCGGCCCGTGGCTCACTTGGGAGAGTGCGGTGCTGATAACACCAAGGCCCCGGGTTTGGATCCCATATAGGGATGGCCGGTTTGCTCACTGGCTGAGCATGGTGCTGACAACACCAAGACAAGGGTTAAGATCCCTTTACCGGTCATCTTTAAAAAAAAAAAAAAGAAAAAGAAAAAGCTTGTATATACTTTTCAAAGGCAGTCATTAAATCACAGCATTTGAAAACTATGTGTCATGTTGGGTCAACCAGATTCTAAGTTAGATGTCTGCTGATATAAAAGAATGTGATAGTCCTCAAAAAACCCCCCCTCGGAGGCGCTTCCGCCGAGGGTTCGGATACCATGTGGAGACCGGTTCCGCTCACTGTTTGGGCGCGGTGCGGGCGCAGCACCGAGGGTTGCGATCCCGTTACCGGTCAGTAAAAATAGACAAAAAAGGAAAAAAAAAAAAATCTTCTTCTATAAAAAGATAATACTATTGCCACTATTTAATTAATTTTTCCTAAACTGGGGATTCTGCTGCTCGATTTACAACTGTCACACAGTTCCAGTCTTCTCATAAGTCACCACACACTTGTGGGGCAGTTGGCTGGGATTATGCTGCAGCCAAACAAAGTGAAGCTAACTGGAATGGAACCAATGGTCATTTTGCAAGGACACTTGAACTTTGAAGCACTTTGTAAATGGCTGGTTATTCCTGTGAAGTTTCAGTATTGAGCCATCCATTGTATTTCATTACAAACTATATGTCACCTTAAAAACAAGAAAGGTGCAAGATATTTCCCAAGTTTTTAAAAACTCACAAACATATCCCCATACTGGCCCAAAGAACCCTCATAAATGTAGTCCAATTCTTCTTAAGTGTAAAACAACTCTTACCAGTGGAGACAGGGCCCAATTTAACAAAACTGGGAAGGGCTTCTCAGAGCAGCTAACCTGGCTCCAGTGATTTGGAACCACAGCTCTAGATCCTAGAATCTTAGGCTTTTAAAGCTCAACACGTCTAAACCTTCATCCTACGAGTGAGATTTTAAATGAAGAGCTATGGTCTTGTTGTAATAATTTAACTCATACGATGTACTACGTCCGAGTACAGTTCTAAGGGCTTTACACCTACTCCTATAATCATCACAACAAACGTGAAACAGAGCGGGGTCAAGTAATTTGCCCAATGTCACACAGCTATTAAGTGACAAAGCCAGAATTCAAACCCAAGCACTAGGGGGCCAGAATCTATACTCTTAAACAACCAGGCTCTACTGTTCCTCTACAGAGACGTTTGAACCAGCCCAGGGCTCTTCCAGGACACTTCAGAGTTCCAATGTGATATACTAATTCCCTACAATTCTTTTTTCCAATCCCACCATCGCAAATGAATTGCGAATCTGTGACTTAAAAATTCTTCCCGTCTGCAACCTTAAGTACTCTGACTTTTATATCCAAAATGGGTGTGCTCTCTCTGGGAAACCAAAAGATGCGATGGCCAGTCTGGAAAGAACTCGAAATTCCTGTTTATTGGTGGTTTTTTTCGTTTTTTTTAAAACAAAAATGCCTTAAAACCTAATAAGGAAGTAGGCCACCAGCACTTTTTCTGAGGATGGCAAATATCTATTGCCTAAAGTGATGAAACTGAGCTAAAAACAGGGACGGCTCTTTTTCCAGCTGTCTCTATCTAATTCACTTGGGGAGATGGAAAACTGTTTACGCATCTGACTGCACGGAGAAATGGGTGAAGAGATAAATGGGGGTGAGGGGGATACTACTCCACCTCTCCAAAGTGAGGAGGCCTAGACTCAAATCTGCTACGTTACAAGTTCAAGTCAGTACTGGACACCACTTCTGTCCTGGACGGCTTCAGTGCCTCTCCAGGCTGCAGGGAGGTGGCTACGTGGCGCTTGGAGGCATTTCCCCCGGTCGGAAAGGAGGTGGCAGCCCCGGCTGGGGGTATCTTCTTGCCCCGGGCGCTGAGGCAGGGGGCGCCCGGAGGCGGCAGGGGCTTCCCGGGGATCCCTGAGGAAGGGTAAAGTATGAGGCGACTTTCCCGGAGCCGCTACGCGGCCAGGACCTGCCGGCGCCCCCCAACCTCTGATACGACCCCCGTCAAACCTGCCTCCCGGCCTCAATGGTCAGCCTGCACGCCGGGGACGGGGCCGGACTCCTGGGGCAAAGGCACCCCCGGCGCACGCGAGCCTCTGCGGGCCACTCATGGAAATGCAGTCAATACTCAGCAGCCTTTTTGTGACAAGAAATAGCCTCTTCGTATTTTCCGGCAGCTAATAAACGGTCTGCTCGTCTGCTCTGTTGATGAGCCAGGTTAAGGGGTCCTTCCATTACTTCCATAGACCCCGGGGTGAGCGGCGGCCTGAGGAAGGGGAGCAGCGGCACCGCGGCACATGGAGGAGAAGGGGAGCGCGACGGAGCGGGGGAGACGGCGGCCCCTCTCCGCGCCCAGAGAGCCCTCGGTGGGCGCAGAAGGAGCAACAAACACACCACTTCCTCCTCCGGCGCCGCGCCGTGGGCCCCGTGTTTTTTATTTTTGTTGAACGAATTCTTCAGCTCCACAAGCTCTGCTACATTCTTTTTCAGGGCATTGATTTCCTTGTACATTTCTTCTTTCAGGTCCTGTATACTTTTCCTCATTTCATCATGCTGTCTAGCTGAGTTTTCTTGTACCTCATTTAGTTTCCTTAGAATTATAGCTCAAAATTCCTTGTCAGTCATTTTAAGGGCTTCTTGTTCTGTAGGATCTAGAGCTTGAGAGTTGTTACCCTTTGAAGGTGTACTTTCTTGATTTTTCATATTTCTGGTATCTTTCCTTTGGTGGTTAGTCATTGCAGCAAGGGACTTCACGGTCCAATCATTCGACCCTATTGTTTGGCTAGGATCCTGCCAGGACTGCCAATTTGGCATGGCTGCCTCAGTGCGGCCATCCCTATATGGGATCCGAACCCGTGGCCTTGGTGTTATTAGCACCACACTCTCCCGAGTGAGCCACGGGCCAGCCCGGCTTCTCCCATTTCCTTCCGTTTTGACTTTTTCCCAAATCCAGTCTGCTTAGCTACACCCTCTCTTGCCCTCCCATTCCCACCTTTATCCTTGTACCTTGATTAATGTTTTTCAAAAAGCAGATTTGACCAATGGTACACCATGTATTAGACTAAGCCCCCCTGGAGGTTGACTAACGTGAATGATTCAGGACTCTGCCCTCAAGTAGCTGACAAACTAATAAAATAATATGGTTCCTTGAAGAAGGACCTGGGAAAATAAAATAAGAAAACTAATATGGCGGGCCGGCCTGTGGCTCACTCAGGAGAGTGCGGTGCTGATAACACCAAGGCCACTGGTTCGGATCCTTGAAAAAAAAAAAGAAAAGAAAAGTAATATGGGTTACAAATAGCCAAATATAGTATTTGATTCATTTAACTGTGCCAGGCCACTATGCTAGGTTCTTTCTGTCATGGAATTCACTGATAAATAGTTGTGAATTATGCTGCAAAGGAAACAGATAGGAAACTGTGATAGAGAGTAACCGATGTGGAATTGGGTGATGAAGGAAGGCTTTTCAGAGGGCATGACTTTTAAGATGAAACCTTACACAGCCAGCTAAGCAAAGAGGCTGAGTGGCTAAGGAGATGTCTAATACCACAACTCTAAAGATGAAAAAAAAAAAAAAAAAAAGCTGCAGCATCCTTAGGATGCAGGAGAGAGGCAAAAGAGGTGGTCAAGTTCCAGAACGTAGATGGCCTTGTAGTGCATAATGAAGCATTTGGATTTTATTCAAATTGCATTGGGAAATAAGTGAAGGATTCTTAGCTTGAAAGTAATCTGCTTTAATTTACGATTTTTAAAAGATTATTTTCCCTGCAATGTAAAGAATAGATTGTACGGGGACTAAGGTAAAAGAACTAAGACTAATTGTGGTAGTTTGGGGCTGGCCCGTGGCTCACTCGGGAGAGTGTGGTGCTGATAACACCAAGGCCGCAGGTTCGGATCCCATATAGGGATGGCCGGTTTGCTCACTGGGTGAGCGTGGCGCTGACAACACCAAGTCAAGGGTTAAGATCCCCTTACCGGTCATCTTTAAAAAAAAAAATTGTGGTAGTTTGGATTAATTATGGTGGCAGGAAAGAATCATTCATATATCCACTTTTAACATAGTTATTGTGTTTTTACCATGTGCCAGAAACTGTTCGGAAGAGAAGTAGATATATCCAAGATATATTTGGGGGCATGGAGTTGAGAGGATTTAATGATGGATTGGAAGTAAAGAGCGCAGAAAATGTAGGAGTAGGACCGGCCTGTGGCTCACTCGGTAGAGTGCGGTGCTGATAACACCAAGGCCATGGGTTCGGATCCCATATAGGGATGGCCGGTTCGCTCACTGGCTGAGCGTGGTGCTGACAACACCAAGTCGAGGGTTAAGATCCCCTTACTGGTCATCTTTAAAAAAAAAAAAAAAAGAAAGAAAATGTAGGAGATCAAGTCTCTAGTTTAAACAATCAGGTGGAAAAGATAGGAGGAAGAAGCTGATTTGCAGGGGAAATCAAAAGTTCTATTTGGGCACCGTATTAGTTTCCTATGGCTGCTGTAAGAAATTACTACACATTTAGTGGCTTAAAACAACAGAAATATATTCTCTTGCAGTCCTGGAGGCCAAGATTCTAAAATGGTTTTGCCGCACCAAAACCAAGGCATAAGCAGTGCCTTGCTGCCTTCTTATTCCAGCCTTTGGAGCTACATTCTTTGCATCCCTTGACTCACAACCCCTTCTTCCATCCTCAAAGCCAGCAGCGTAGCATCTTCAAACCTCTTTCTGCTTTTATCACATTGCTATTTTCTCCTAAAATCCTTCCGCCTCTCTCTTATAAGAACCTTGTGATTACATTGGGTCCATCAGATAATCAGGATAATCTTCCTGCCTAAAAACTAACTTAATCATATATGCAACGTTTCTTTGCCATGTAAGGTAATATTTACAGGTTCCACAGATTACCGCCTGGATATCCTCAGGGACCGTTATTCAGCCTACCACAGACATTGTATCTGTAGAGAATCAATGGCAAACTCAAAATAGGATGATTCCAGGAGAGGGACTGTTTATAAGGGGACTATTTATAAAGGTGTGGGCAGAGTTTAGGTATTCACATGAGAAAAACCAACAACTTCTAGGCCACGAGGAAAGGGATAAGAGGTGGAAGAGGTTACCAGAACCTGACATGAGGAAGAAATATAGAGAACTATACTTTGAAGAAGCACTGACCTTCAATCAAGGACATGGCAGACTGAGATGACCTTGCTAGGAGGATCTAGGGAAATAAATAACTTTATCTATTCTTCTTCCTCTGACCTCATGCTGGGTTCTTTGGCCAAACCCACCCAGAAGCCCAAAGGCAAGAGAGCCCATTGATGTTATCCATAAAAATCATCCTCTAAGGAGAGGGAACAGGGCAGTGAGAGGTAGAGAATGGTCTGGAGGGACTAATACAAAATATATGGCACATACAATTGAGAGACTTATTAACATCAGTTGAAAGAAAAACTATAGACAAATTAAATTTAGAAGCGTTTATTTGAGCACCGAAGGATTCATGAATTGGAAGCACTCAGAGCCAGAAGAGGTTCAGAGAGTCCCCCCAGCAGTGTGGGCAGTGAGCTTTTATTGGCCGAATGCAGAGTAAAGTAGTTACTTGTTTGACTACAGCTAGGCATTTGCCTTATTTGGGTATGATCCGGTGGAAAGTTCCTAATTAGACATTAGTTGGTGGTTTCTGATTGGTTAAGCTAAGGTTTTGTTTCACCGTTTACATTGAATTGGGTTTTAGTTTGCTTAAGCAGCAGCCCAAGAACCTTGGGGCTGCCTCAGCCTAATAGCCTCCTAATTAGTTATTTGAACACATCCTAGTGGATATGTCAGGTAGGCAGGAAAATATACAAAACTAAAACTCAGGATGTGTAGGTGAAGACATTAATTTTGGCAGAGAGAACATATATACAGGAAAGGGCAGCAGACCTAGGACTGAGTCTTGAGGAATTCCAGCAATTAGACGTCTGGTAGAGGAGGGAGGCACAGCCAGTGAAGTGGGGAAACCCAAGACATCCCATAGAGGACAGAAATGGGACATTGGTGGAAGGGGTCAGAGTCAGATACATGAAAATATGCGTGTAGGAAGACAACAGATGATACAAAGATGGAGTGACTGTGTGAATAAGTTCCTTGAGAAGGTGAAGGAGAAATGGAATTCAGTGCCTGAGTAGAGACTGGCCATGTGAAGGAAAGATGCTTCCTCCATTGTAACTGGTAGGAAAAGGGAATGATAAACATATAAACATAGTTGTGTAGATTGCTCATGGAGAAAATGTAGGAATTTGAGGCCAATTGCTGCCTTTAGAAAAAAAAATGAAACATGAGGTGAATTATTAGCTGAGAGCAGAGGGGATAGAGTTCATCTGAAAAGAAAGCCCCAGAGTGGGAAAGTCAACCTAAGAGAAAAATGGTTGGTTTCCTGGGTAATGATGAGAGTCTATTTGAGGTATAAAATCATGAACGAGGTGAAAAGTAGTATTAAAGAGAAGTAAAGATAGTTCCAAGGGAGCTGAGAGGTTCTTCCAGCTGTTGAGCGGAAGAGGACAGTGGAGGCAGTGGCGTTGGAGCTGCGCCTCGGGTCTGCTGGAGGTGGGGTGATGACAAGGCTGTTTCAGGAAGAGTGAATGGCTGTGAGTGGCAGACCTGTAGTTCCACAGTTCACCAACTGCATCTTTTCCTAGTTCTTCTGGAGGAAACCTGAAACAGACCCTGAGCAATAGCACTTCTGGAACACTATTGTGAACCTGCAGTTTGGCCTACCCCACTGCAAGCATCAGCACCTACCACCTACCCCTCAGAGACAGTTGACAGGCCTGAGGTATGGCAGGAAAGGAGATTGACAGGACAATGAGAATGACCCATTTGCAAACAGAGAAGCAAGTGGCTTCTTTGATTCAGAAGTTACCCTGAGAAAGGGTGCAAACTGCATGTTGGAGTGAGCAGGACTGAAGCCATGTTGGGACCTAAAACTGCCTGGGCCGCAGGGGGTAGGGGTAGGGGGAGGATCTTTTAAACGACCTTTTTTTCTCTCCACTCTTTCTTCCCATCCCTTGACATTCTTATCTTGCTCACTAGGTAGGAAAACAAGGCCGAGAAGCTAATTAGTTCTTTGCAAAGCTAACAGTTGTTTCTTGGAGACTTGTAGGGTTTTTGAGAAATGATCAAGGCCAAATGACTGGAAGCTGACCTTGGGCACCAACCAAGTACACCAGAGCAAATCAAAATTTTGCAGAGTCCTGAGATAATAGTGAAGATGAGAACAGAAACCAGACGAGGCCTTGGTGATACGTGACCTTGTACCTGACCCATAGACACGAACCCCTCATTGCTCACGTCTCCTTCTCTCCTGCTTTTCA